TCATCAGAGAGACGCAGCAATGCAGGTTGCTTCAAGGAAGTATGTACGCATAGTATGTAGAACGCATGCAGAAGAATGATGAAGGCAATGAAAACTAAGTAGTCAAACAAACTTCATACAAAATCAAATTGATCAGTCGACTATAGATAAAGGCTAAACGAAGCGCAAATTATTAAAACAAATATATTTTTCGAATAGAAATCAGTTTTTTTTTTACCTTGCACGAACCGAAGGCGTTAGGAGTTCATATTGAGTAATACGAAATTACAGGCAAAACATACGTCAACCAATATTCATATTCGACGATAGCGAACGCACAAAAAATCGTCGAGTCGATTAAACCTGAGCTACGAGACGTTCACACGCGATATACGGATATTTAGGTGGGCGTCAACCCTTCGTGGTCAGACGCAATCGTTTGTGCCCGATGAAACCACGATCTGAGCGAACAAATATCGCAGCAATGAGCATTTTGCTACTTTTCGGGTGAACGCGGTGTATTCGTTCTCTTCCTTCATTATAAATAGAACAAAAACATACCAAACTAACGCAATAGAAGATCCTTTAATGGAAGCAAGGGCTATGCTCACAACCTTAATATTCAAGGTCCCTTCGAAGTCTTCCGCGGGTGCGAATAATGCTTATTTCACCTACGCTCTATTGATACTCCTTTCTCCTATGTATTCCATATGGTCGATGTACATATCTATTTAGATAGCACTAGAATTCGGTTTACGAACTGTTTCATTCCCTGGTGTTCTGTATCTTCTGTTTACACATCATTTTTTTGGATATGTATTTCCATCTCGGCACATACTCTCCAATTAATAGTAGTAAGATTTTTGTTTCAGCATTCCTTATCCGCTTCGTCTGTTAATTTTTACCCTATGTCAAGTGCATTATATATATATATATATATATATATATAAAGGAACATTTGGTTTGAATATGGTCATTGTCCCCTAAATTCTGGACGAAAAATCGAACTTCGGTTTTACTTTTGACTATCTAGACAGGCATCTGTATATCACTACGAAAATGGAAGGTTGAAAGGTCGTTAATAACATTCCAATACTGGCTGCGGATAGTTCCCATTTTAATTGAAAGTCAAGTTCAAGCCTGTGGGGGCGGACCGGGGAGTTTAAAGAGGGCCGTTCCCAGAATCAAGATGAACCACGTTTCTACCATTGACTATGCTCTGATTTATGGGATTGATACTCTTATATTTAGCCGTCATTACTATCTCGTCAATGCCATCAACGATTCGCTGTTCATGGGATTCCACTTCCGTCACCATTGAGAAATGCCTTGCACTCTCCTAGGAACAGATAGATAGCCACAACAAAATCCTTTTCCGTCCAAGATGAATTGATGAGCCTATTCGTTAATTATTTTTGGGTAGGCGATTAGAAAAGTTCGAATGTAGTAACTTGTAACTACTGCCTACGAATCTCCACTTCCTCTTTAGTGCTAAACTATCTTTACACATGCTTTGCACTCAACTTTTCTTCCATGCCGCGATGTTTGCGGTAGAGTAGGCCACAGCGCAATTATTTTTTAATATTCTATATGTCAGTGACTAGCTCTTCGGTAGGACTTTTAATATTAAAATTACTATAGTTTTATTCATTTTCTCTGACTGAATGATGCTCATCATTTTATGGTGCTACCATTAACGCTGTGATCGTCATTCACTCGGATATCTTCACACAAGGTTTTTTTGTTTTTTGAAAATTGGAATCTCTCAATACCGATACCACGTAATGGGCAATAATAAATGGGGACGATGGGTCAATTTTCTGATCTATTACGAGTGCGAAGTCTAATAGCATTGACGTTGGAATGCAACTGTACGCTCAACTGAAATGAAGAACTATAACAATTTGTTGAAACCTCAGTTGGGGACAAAACTTCACATCTCACGGTTGTACGTTCGGCATTCTACCCACACCGTCATCGAGGTTGAAAAACTACCCAGCTTTTATCTTTAACGTGACGAAGCATTACTCATCATCCTCAGCTGTCAAGTGCTACGTCATTCACGAACCACTGAACGATTCGCAAATTGTAATCATAATATCACCATCAAAATTACTACCGTTAAGCATCAGTTTATCTTTCTTCTTATTCGCTGGCAACGAAAGCTGTTTTTTTTTTTATTTGGGTGTGTTTCCTTGTTGACGGCAGTGAAGTGTAGGACCGTCCCACATCGGCCCGTTGTAGCAATATCATTCATGAGAATAGATATTGACTGACACAGAGTTAGCGCCACCGACGCTGTCCTATATACTGATAGATGCAATTCCATTAACTGAGCATGGTCGTGGTGTTAGCCGCTTTTATTTTGCGCCGGCGATTCCGCATAGGTTCATATCTTCCGACATGGGGTCGCCCATTCTATATATATATATATATGTATATATATATATATATATATACATACATGTATATCCCATCTATATGTGTATTATATTTGTGGGACCCTTCCTAAGTTGACACCGGTTACTACACATCGTCTTAGCTCACCACTTCGATCAGAGTTATTAGAATATAGCTTATTGAGCTGTCCGTGGCTCTATGAACATGGCATGTGACTTCTCTTGGTGAACGAACTTCTAGTCCACTCCGTAGCCATTGTCGCAGTGTTCCCAAGCTTTGCTTGGCCTCTAGCTCATCTCTAAGCACTTGTTCCTGTCCTTCCCTCATCTTCTGCAACTCCGTTATCCTTCGTTAGGCTTCCTCAGACCGTTGAGATTCACGCCATCCGAATAGCTCCTTCGTCTAAGATTTCAGGGCCCCTGGGCCTGAAACAACAATAACTACGTAATCAGTGTAAAACGCTGTAGCGCAGCAGATCCTCTACACCATCCGGCTACATCCTTTCGCTCCTCAACTCGCTCTGGCTCTTTCTTTCTCTCGAGTCTTCTGCTTCAAACTGCCTCACTCACAACGCTCATGTGCAGATCATCAGCGGGTTTGGTGGAGGATTTTAGACGAGGAAGCAATTTCATAGTTCACGATCACCATACAACTTACTGTCAATACAAATCGAAAGTGTCTTATTTGGCTAGTGGTAATTTCAATCCATTCCGTCATAGGACATCAATGCTTCTTTATTGAGTCTTCGGTGATCGGTCTGCACCACTGTCAGTATCGTCAAGAGCCAGGTGTGCCTTAAATAGACCTACTTGATGATCAAATTTTGAGACAGACGAAAGTCATCAAGAGTTTTGTTGCATATATGCGCAGACACACATGGCTCTTTCTAGTAATGCCGATGATAATACGTGTAGGAAGAGTATTTTGCAGCATTCGTGTAGGAGGTAGTACTGTGATTATTTGCTATAATTCTTTATCATCATTCATGAGTATAGTCTTGTTCAATGACAGTAATTATGTAGATAGATACATGAGTTGGCTATATATATATCTATATATATATATATATACCATGCAATATTCCTTAGTAATTGATAACTGTCGTTTCCTGGCTTAGCATTTTCACAGACTCGGGTAATAATAATTACCATTTTCGTTGTCATCAATAGAATCGTCATTACCATTGGTTATCATAACTGAAAAATTCCTTCCTTCGATTGTTGAAGGTCTCTTACACTTGCTTGGGCATCCAGTCCGCCTTATAGTAAAAACTCTTAAGCTGAAGTCGATAAACCCCTCTTTTCTATTCTTCTTTCTAATTGCTACGTATTCATCTAAACGGACTACGAACTCAGTCAATCTAAACGCTTTGCTTGCTTCAGACATCTTTATAATATACGATAATCGTAACGATACCGCTGTGTCTCCGTTCGTTCGTTAGAGCGGAGCCAAAATCGCTTGTATGCATTATGATGCTAACAACGACAATATTAATAAGATCTCGGCAGTTTGATAGGAGTGGGAGGAAAAGGTAAGAGCAAGGTGTTTTTCGTGTATTTTAACCCATTTTTCCGGTTCAGACTTTTGTACTCTTATAGAAGACTGATGGTGACAAGGTTAGTTGATCACTTGTTTTTTTTTATGACGTTTTGTTTCGGTTATTGTTGATCCTACTGGGTTCGCCGTATGTGCGATTCCTGCTGTCCGAGTGCGTTCCCATCTGTAAAAGTTTAATTAATAGTTTTTTTTTTTCTTAAAATAAAACAATCATGACGAGGATGATAATGATTAAAATTATGCTGTGTGATATCGATATGATTTCGAGTGACATGACTTGATCATCATTCATATTCTATGGTTCTCATTTTCTCGCCCATCTTTTGTTTGGCTCAAGCTTTTTTCTCGGATATTTTTCTTCGAACGTCTTTCCTTTCCGTGTCGCCATTTCTCCGTTCTGACTGTCTCGCAGCTAATCAAATGACGTCGATGTCATAGCTAGCGGCGTTCTTAAATCATTTTGTTATTATACTTTGTACAATAATACGCAATCGTATATACTTATCATCCTTACATCAGTACCTAACACCAGATACCTGATCTCCGATCTTCGTGTTCTGCAAACCGTTGTTTTCGTCTTTGCCCCCCAGAACATCATCCCAAATAATCATTATTATTATTATCATCATCATCATAATTATTATCGTTTTTAGTATTATTATTGTTATAATAATTAATACCTCAACTGAGACATTGTAACTAGCAATCAGTGTAAATACGCCCCGACTCTACGATCTATATATTGGTTGCCATCCTCATCGCTATTTTGTCAGTATTATTATTAATATTAGCATTGTTAGTACCTGTATTCGTTGTATCATAATTAGTACCATTTGATTATTTACTAATTATTATTGTTGTTGTAGTGATATATTTGTTCGAGACAAGCCGTCCGGGTATAGGCTGTCTGACACACGCCTCCCCTTTATTCCTTGAGGCGGATCAAAAAAGTTGCTACATACTCGCTCCACTGGCGACTACCAAGGTTCCGGACGGCGACACTAACCTTTTCTAAGGCTCGACCGGGGTCCTCTTCTAACGTCACCTCTTCCCTGTTTTCACAGAAGGCCCGACGGAGGAAGCTCTGGAAACACATCTAAGAAGTGACCCCGGTTACCGCCCCTGGCCGCTAGGGGTCGCTTGCATCGTGGACCCACCTTGACATCGAATCCGTAGACCCCTTAGTTAGTGACATTTACAATAAAGATAGGCTTCCGCAGCCTCGAACCTACTCCTGTCGTTGCCATTCTCGTTGGTCAAATATAAACAGAAAGATCTGCTCAGCTAGCCTTGTACAGCTCATCTGAAGTAGTGAACCACTCTATATAATATACGTGAAGCTGAAGGCCATCAACGGAAATTAGGGCTTACAGCGTCAACCCTAATCTATGCTTGGTATTCTGGCACCGGTAGAGTTTTGAAGAAACTACTGTAACCCTAATGAAATTGCCAATAGGAAGTGTGGTTTGCAAATTTGATACATGTGCCATTTCAGATTTGAATCCCCAAGGACTCTACTAAATGGTTAGCATTTGTTGAGTATTTGAAGGTCTTAGTAATGAATCGTATCAGATCACATATTTGGATTTGATCTAGCACTTTGGACATTTATGATAGCAAAGCTCAAGTTTAGCAATTTCCCCGTATCTCTTCAGTGCTCAAATGAGCTGTTTGTTCTATTAATATTTTATAGGCATCGTTGCTTTCGTGAAGGGGATCATAAGGATGGCAGGCCATTGACAAGCCTGCGACGCCACGCCACGCAGGCCCCTCCTTCGGGTTGTCCTAGAACTGGCAGAGAGATTAAACTTGCGAACGACTTGAATGCCGAACTTTGCTGTTCCACAACATAGCTTCAATAAATTGGCCTTTGAGAAGGTAACAACAAATAGTGAAGCCTTCCAATGCATTTTGAAGCGGAATCGGTCTTCGTTTCATCTATCCAGCTGCTTTTTTGTTGAAGGTACTCAATATACGTCCGCCAGAGTTCTCCCGTTTATGTACGTATTGTAGATCGCCGTTGTACAAAACAACCGTAGATGGTCGATAGTTATTGTACCGATGATCGCTGGTCCACTCCACCTGCCCGCCCCAGGGCGGCCGATAATTTCATCTATGAACATTTCGACAATGTATGCTTGTATTTTTAGTATATTTTGTATTGTATTTGCAGTATTACAATTCGAAAAGACCGCTGACGAACCTATGAATAAATCGATCAATTCGCTTGCGTTTCTCTTCAATAAAGCGCTCGTTGGTGGTCATTGCGTGCCGTTACCAGCCCATCTTGAACCTCGCATCGATTAGCGAAGGCGAATACGTGCAGGATATCACCCGGCAGCACGCTTAGGGCTGCTATCTACATAACTAATAAATGTACTTACTGTATTATTATCATGCAGCGCCATAGTTTGTGTGCTACCGTTTTTACAGCTTTACTTTTGTAAGATGCAATCTGCCGACTGGTCAGTGCCAGATTTACATGAGGTTCTCATTCACCTAAGTCTGACGGTATCGACAAACAGCTCCATAATTGCTGCCATATCAATGGGATGCCAGAATCCCGGTAAAAACCGTAATACCAAATAGGTAGGTTAAGAGGAACAATGCGTTCTAATGACTCTGAGTTGTTTCTGTTGTAATTGACTATTTCGGCTTTGCGGGTTTGTCTTGTTCAGTCACCGCTTCCGCTAATGCTCTCCTTCGTTGAGGTCGCATTTGAAATTTCCTTTAAGTTTCTGCCTGGGAATATATATGTTTAATTTTTTCTTGCATCTTCGTTATTCTTATTATGTAGTACATTATCGGATCGTGCTACAGTTTGCTATAGCTTAGCTCTTTTTGCCGTTTGCTGTTTTGTAGGTTCGGCTATGCATGAAAACAGCGTGACGGACTAGTCAGTCACCTTAATACTATCCCTATCCTAAGGCGGCGCTGTTTCGGAAGAGGTTGTATGATTATGATCATTACTGTAGTTGTTTTTCCTATGAATTTGTTTTACAGATGCTGCGACGACTGCATTTGTGGTATCTATTTGAAGTCGCTACTAGCCACGAGGCATTGAATTGAAAGGTAGACAGAACATTTGCCAGAGTTGATTTTCGATGACGCGTTCGATCTATATTATCACGTGTATTATAGATGAGATCACTCTTCATCCGGTTATGATTCGCATAACGGTCATTGTATTGGAGAGCGTTATGCTATTGGTACATTTGTAATAATATTCGAAATGGTAACATTACGAGGGTTAAGAAGACCAAGCCAAGTAGTTATAGGTAATTAGTTATGTGCAGCTTTGCTGGCATAACGTTCTCAATTTGTATTGCGTGATAGCCTGTCCGCGTTACACGCGCGCCAACTGGAGATTAGAGCTTCCATTAGGTGAAGCGGAAAGCCTCTCGTTTTGTAAGCTTGCGCTTATCGATCTACGGCCATTCGTTATAGTCATCTGTTTGTCTATTGCCGTCATCGCCTGGAATTCTCCCACAAATGTCAAAATTATTAGGGCTGGTTCGTATTTCGCCTCGGTTTGTCTTTTTCCTGGTAGGCTGACTCCTGTTTCCAGTTCCTTCGGCTTCGTTTCTTGCCGTGCGCCCCGTTCTATCTCCTCAAGCTTTAGTTAGTTGCCGATCAGCTGTTCTTATGGCTAACATCTCGATTGCTAGAGTTTTTCGTTCCTATTTTGTTTGCACTCCAGCTAAGTACTGCGTTGTTGACGTTGTCCTTGAAGTTCTAAAAAATGCCACTTCCCTGACAGTGCTATGTCGGTGCAAGATTTTCGTGTCAGCTGAAACAGCTTGAATCTCTTGCGTCTGTTTCTGCCCTGTATTTTTAGCTTCTGCAATCGGTACGCCTTCTAGGATAAGTTTTTTGAAAAAGGTCGTTTCAAAGAATCGAAATTCATTTTACCGATCACTATTCTCTTCGTTCGATGACAGTTGTTAAAAAAAGTCCTTACCAAGAAGTAGTCGCTGAAATTCAGAAACCATTTTCTGTAATGAGCTTCGGAGGGCGCTTGTCAAATATTGCTTGCCATAAGATCTGCTTTTGAGGAAAACGTGTAGGGACAGCGTATGGTAAACATTGATTTACTTGGGCTATTGTACGTTTGTTATCTATATTTTAATTTTTCGTCGTTTAGTCTGTGCACCCTGATTGATCAGAGAAAAGCGCGAAATGCTTCATTGTTCGGGAATTTTTGCTCTATTCCTTTACGGTTATTCTTGAGCTCCGCACTTGCTAGCAACTGCTCGATGGCTCATCTGAGCACCGCTGTCTTCGACTAAACGCGTAGAAGACATGAAAATGAATTGGCATTGTAAAAGTTTTTCTTTATTTATATGCTAAGTAACCGCTCTGTGCATACTTTTTATGTAACTCCTACTCTTTGTCATGGCCATGGTTTCCCTCGAGGCTTCACTTCTGTTTTTTTCCATTCGACTATTGGTTTCATGTCATACTTTGTAAAAAATACAGATATGTTGTACACTGCTACAGCAGTAAGAATAATCGAAGTAGTTTCATCAAAATTTTGTATTTTTTGTTTGTCCTTCCCTTTCTCTCTCTCTCTCTCTCAATTTATTTCCGGCTTCACAATGTCCAAAGCTTCATTTACTCCCACTGTGTCGCTACGCCTATAAACATTTTCTTGCTTCACGTTTTGCATCTACGCGATATAACCGTAGCTCTAGCAGGCCTCATCCTCGTACTGGTTGATGTCTTCGTGGCACACCTCCATGTAATTGGGATCACGAAGTACGCCTTTAATCATGTCTTTTAGCATGTTGTACCTGAAAGAGGTTTAGACATGCGTCAGTTAGCTATGATATATGGGTGCTGAAACCGCTATGTATGATCGGCTATTTTACGCTAATGTGAGCTTGCTAGAGACGTACAAATCAATTAAGAACCATACTATAAGTATTTGTATTTTTAAAAATTACATCGGAGACTTAATAAGTTCTCCGATAGGGATAAAAAGATCAGAACTCGAACCAATACAAAACTTGTCGCAATCTCACATCACACCTCATCGAAACGATGTCGTTAAAACCTTCGGATCTGTAAACAACGAATAAGGAATGCTTGCTCAATGGTAGTTGCAACGTAATCAGCTATTCTTACCTCGGTATAAACGGGTATACTTTGGAGTCCTGGTAGGCAAGTCTGAGGGTGTGAACGACCCCTTTAAGGGCCGAATATCGCTTGAGAAGGCGGTAAAGATCGTTTATAGTTTGCGTATTCTCGTCTTCAATTTCCTTCACAGTCATTGCTAAAAATTGGAAATTTGAAATTTATTCGTAGGCCTCGTCAATGTCTGCAGTAGGTCTTTGCAAACGTCAAGCTAAGATAATGCGCATGCATGTAGCAATATAGAGCAAAGCGCGTCGCGCTCAATACTGTGCTCTATTAACAACAAGGACATCTTGGATCTCATTGAGATCTCGAATCAAGCAAGCATCACGGCTAAAATCTGTCTGATAGTTCCGAAGAAGGCATTGTTTGTGTACACTTTGCGCTTAATGTCCGATTCAAAAGTGTAGCTTGCCGATTGTAGGTGGTTTCTTGCTGAGTTTTGAAATTTAATTTTCAGTAAAAAAAAAATATGTTTTTTTTGCTTTATAGATGGTTATTCAGGAAGCTGAGTTCGATTTCAGCGGTTTCATAAAGAAGAGTTGCTTAATAGTGAACTCACCGTCAAGACGTGCCTTTCTTTCTTTAGCTATGGCTTCTTCTTCTTGCGTGTTCTTTGGCTTCTGGCAATCCACCGTCCGCGATTCCCCGGCCTTTTCGAGACAAGTGCACGTACGTAGTACGTACGTAGTCACTTGTTCCTGTTTTTCTTGTTTGGGTATATCCAACAGTAGCCAGTACTGCGTGTCTAAATTAATAACGTCTTTTACCATTACCTTGAAAGTTCCATACCTGAAAGAATATATTGCTTTATCTAGCTGCTTCTCTGGTAACGCTTGTGCCTTTTACTTTTACGAATGCTTTAAAAACTCGGGATAGCTTGTATGATTTTGCCTCTAGGCTGGGTGGATTTAAAACAGCCTTTTTTTGTATATACAAATATCTATTGATTGTTACGAGTTTGGTTTTGTCGTTGGTAAGTGTGGCTGCGAGGTCTCCAAAGCGGCAGAAGAAGTTTGTTGCCGTTCGAAAAAGATGCACAGGAAGAGTAAATGCTTTCGATCGGCCCGGTTGCTAGTATTCGAAATTGAAAGCTAAATGTGTTTACGTTTAACATAGCCGTACCATGCTAGACAAGGGGCTTCCGATGTTTTTAAACAATACTAGAGTTACGTGAATTAGTATGTCATTTTGAAGTCGTATGAAAAGCAATAGCTTACTGAATAATGCTTGCGTGATATAGTTTTATTTCGATCACAAGCATTGGCGCATGGTATGATTCCATTAAATACCTGCCTACGTTTATGGGCGCCCTAGCTACTAATGAGTTTCTAGATAGACTTTACAGAAAATTACAAAAATGTATGTTCGCCCTTTTGTACAAAGACTACTAATATTCAACTCAGCCACGTGCATACATTTACATCGCATACAGGTGCACACATGGCCGAACATTTATTATAGAATAACTCCAAACGACATTTTAATGTCCAACAAATAAACTTCATTACTTAATGCCTCGAGGACGCATCATGCGTGGCTCCATCATCAAAGCTTCAACACATACATGCACTTTTTTGTGTACATTTTGCAACCTTATAATTAAAAAAAAAAAAAAATATATATATATATATATATAGAGAGAGAGAGAGGGGAGGGAGGGAGGGAGAGAGAATGTCCAAAGAGTTGTTGTAGTTGTATATCCAAATAAAGCCCAAACCCAGTTCTTGTTACCGTTTCGCTGAGTCGTAACGTAATAATTGTATAATAAGTACGTAAGCTTAGCAACTGTGCTGCTTTTTAGACGCGGCGTGTATGTAGACTTGAACAGCGATGACTATATTTGATCATGCCTGCCCTTTGCTTACCTCCTGACGACATTTTTCTCCGCTTTGGACATCTCATATTTTTCGTGCAACGTCGTAAGGGCATTTCGCACCGTATTGTATGATTTAGTGATTCGGGTGTTCATATAGAACAATCGCTGCGAGAGCTGGGTGGCGCTCTCGCGAGTGTGGTCTGAAATACATTTCCAGACAGGCATTTCATTAATTATACGATATGCGTACTCTATTCTTATTCAAAATGTTAGATCCATTCAGTGTATGCTAAACTCAGCTAATTTAAAAAAAAATTTTTAATAAAAACAATAATTTCTTATTCGTGCTTACGAATGATTTTCTTTAATTTACTATTACATAAAATCTATTTCGTTCAAAACTAGCTAGAAAATGATCCTAGTAGGCTAGAAATGAAAGGACTACTCGTGATGTAAATAGAAGGGTAACTTTAGCCCTCTGATAATAAACGCAAATCGTTGTTATCTGTATTTTATCTACGTTATGGCGGTCAAGCCACACGAACGCTGGCCAGAACGCTCCAAGTTCGGGAATATTTTCGGTCGTCATCGATCTCCAGAAGTTATAATCTTTCAAGCTTCTATAATGAAAGAACACATTTTCGCTTCCGTCTTAGAATATATGTTCTGCCATAGCTTCCCGTCAGTGCTCACATTGGATGCCTAAATAGTTATACCTAATGAAATATTCAGACCATTGTCCTTATAGCTAAAATAGAAGACGGATCGTCGGTTTATGCACCATGGCATTTCTTACGATCATACAGATATTAGGGAAAATTTGGTGAAAATACCTTATACAAAGGCAAGTATTTTACTCATTATCTGTATATTCATATGTCTGAAAAGAAAAAGCTATAGAGTTGCCGTCCGGATCAATAGAATTATACTCCTTTCCGAAATCCCGTCTGAAACCTTCCATATGAATCAACGGAGTAATATAATTGACAACGAGAGTAGTTTATGTTATTTACGAACATGTCTATCGAACAGACTAGAACTTGAACGAAGAGGATAGGCACAATGACGAATTTACACATTCTCTACCACACAAATTTTTGTACGTTTCGTACATTTTGTAAATGTGTATAAATACCCCTTTATTTACTATACTTGTTACGTTATTTATAAGGTCATGCACGATAAAAAGCTACTTCCGTACACTCTATAGTATATTAATTGAAAGGAAAAAGTGTTTACATCGAAAATATTATAAAACATCTACTCTGTCAGTGTTTCAGACTACAAATTAAAAATATCTAGGGATAAACTCGATTAGCTCCGTGAGGCGAAGATACGCTTCCATGAACAAATATTAAGTTGCAAAGCTCAGTTAATGCGACCCAGTATACGTTGATGGGTAGGAATATACAAATCTAGAGGAGCACAATACGACAGGGTACCAAAACAGTAGGAAGGTGTTTGTGTAAGAAGTGTAACTTGAAGCAGTATGACCGCGTATGCCGATATGTGGCCAGCTTCCGAATGACAAGTAATTTCCAAACAAGAATTTCCATTGATATCGGAAAGAACAGAAGGGCTCTATGAGGCCAATTGGTTGAACGCTTCGTGTATGCAGCAAGGCGCGGATAAAGAAAAAAAATGTGTCAAGGCCAACTCCACGCCCAAGCAAAGACTTGACATGTGAGCAAACTCTTCCAGGCCGGTGCAGCCTGAAACGTACCCACTAGATGGGCATATATTCGAAAGGGCTCTAATGTAGGTGTACGATCCTTTCTTTTATATGAAAATTGTGCTTGTTTTCGACAAACATTTTTTGTCGATCTTGCTCCTCGGCAGCAGATCATTGTTCTTTTCAACCACACACAATGTTGGCCAAATAAAAATGGTCGAGGGAAAGAAATAGGTTTGCTATGGCAAGATTAATGCTTATTTGAAGTTTGCTCAATCTGCGACTTCATTAGGGCCATACTTTACATGAACCTGAAATTCACTAAACTCAGGTCGGCCGCGTCGCCTGTCGCAAGTGTAATGACCCTCGCAGAGTTCTACCCAGTTTTAGGACATTATAAAATTGACAGGCTCTCTTTCAGTATAAAGCTAGCGTGTTTTAACATAAAGATGTTTGAAACAATGCCAGGTGCTCCATTGGTCGTAAGGAGTTTTGTACCAAAGATGTTAGGGTTTACAAGTGAACATTAGTAGTTCTTCTAAAATCAGAGAAACCGTAAGGTGACTCCTGCTTGAATTACTTAAGAACTCGTTTTTTTTCTACTTTACAACTGTATTCTGATTTGTACTTGTTATAATGTCGCTATATATATATAGGCACCATCGATGTAAAAAAATAAAAAAAACTTACCGAATTCGACCTCCGAGACGAACTTTTTGACACTTGTGGTGAACTTTCCGACTAAATTGGATCCTGAAAAGAATAAAAAACACATATATTAGAAGAACCAATAAATAAGCTAGCTTCTACGCAAATATGACAGCGAGCCATAATGTATTGACGTTTACGATCGGCTCTCCGTCGGTGATTGTTTTCATTGTCCTATTTCTTACATGATTGTTACGGCTGAAAATTGCTTGAAAAAGCGGCGCTTAGTTCAGAGCGGTTGCGTGCACAGCCAAAGTCGATTGCAAAGAAAGGAACCGTAAATAACAAGCTATTATTCCACAAAATCTGTTATATATAAAAGTAAATTCACTCAAATCTCAAAAAACATTGATGCGAACAGGTTTTTATGAAATTGGGATTATTGTTTCAAATCCTATCATATAAAAAAGCGCTATATTTAAAGAAACACCTATTAGAGACCCAAAAAAAAGAACTGCACTAGAACAGACGACCTGGCCCAACCGTTTAAAGCACTTTTATAATGTTAACAGTATTCCGATCTGCGGCTTGTAGCCAGCACATTCGGCACTTCTCATAAAACCAAGTCGTTCTTTAAAAAATAACGTGAAGTTATTAGCTAATAATTAACGTGTAAGAAATAGTTGATGCCGAGAAATTTTAGGACTGACAAAAAATCAGTCGTTTCGATTTAGAAGTGCCTATTAAGTCTAGGAATTCTGAAATCTAGGAAGAATTGTTGATCTCTCAAAAAAAAAAAACAACAAAGTAAATATTCACTATTTGGACATATTTAGATATCCAGACGAGCCGTAGAACAGGCTTACAGTGTTTTCTGTAAAACAAGATGTGCATATCATGGCAGCAAACGTTTTTGACGGTAGCTGGAGTTCTGGTTACCCTTGCGGGGCTTTTTTCCTCCTACATGGACCGTGATGATCGCTAAAAACCGAAGCTTTCCCTCTTGCTCAGTTATAAAAAAATCAAACGTATAAATAATTTATGGGGCCGTTCTGGTTTGATCAACAGTGCAAGTCCTCATCTCATGAATTTTTTTCATCTATTTTTAGCAGTTCTTTTGCCATAGCCATGGCAGTGGACGTGATGCTGGCTAATAGCGAGGGCAGATATCACTTTGTCTGCTTGGTCGGTTACGCAGTACGCTGTAACAGCCATTCAGCCAAGCAGTTCGTTAAACTGTATTTGACGAGAACTATGTTAAGGCCATTTGTCCAGATCCTTATTTCTTCCAAGCGAGGAAGCGAATAGTATCGGTACGGAAACTCGAAACCGAACTTGCATCATGGTACTGGACTGGTTATCTACCCAAAAGCGAGTGTGCGCCAGTATGGACCAGCCAGGACAATACTGGAGATCGGGAATTGAACTTTTCGACAACTTCCGCAGCAGATGTAACAGAAGCAATAGCAGCGGCAATAATGCGCATTTGTGGAAAGGGCTGTTCGCGCAATTGTTAGTCGCGGCGGTAAATTCGATTCCAATGGCGGGCTAAATCATAGCGAAACAAATCGTTTGCAGTCCTAAAGGTAAATAAGGCACTCGTCTTTCGTCTGCACAACGCGTTGTCGCCGATAGAAGCACTGCAAGGGTTAGAGAAGCCACCGGCGACAGACGACCAAATATTGTGCCTTTCTTTTTGAGCGAAGAAAAATCGATAGGGTATGAGGGGGCACGGGCGTGAGGAAAAAGCAAATCGGAAAGCTATCGATATCGTGCATCGCTACTGCGCCATTCCCTGGCGAGTCACATAGGCCCGCGGTTTCAGAATATCTAAGACTGATGACTGAAATAGACGGACTTACGTTCTAACTATCTATATATACATTGTGAAAAAAAGAGCTCTTTTAGCATCGCCTGACAGTGACATCAGGAAGAACGGCGGGCATCAGGACAATACAAACTAATCGTAGCATTTTTTTAATAATATTATTAAGGGCTTTTTAGGCGCTGCAATCAGCTGGATTGTGATTTAGATCTGGACAAAACGTATTATTTATTTACATGAAAATGTAAAAAATCGTATTTTTCGTTTTTGTTGTGTTGTCACGATCAGTTTGTGCTTAGTGTATACGAGGAAACACAAAGAAGTGCTGGATAAATTCGTAAATGAACGTGACGAGTAATAACTCCTGATCCGTCCAAGTGATCATATCCGGTAAACTGATTTAGATCGAACTTCTAAAAGCGACATGCTCTCCGCTACGACAAACATCTTAGTCGTAGTATATTGATCACTTTGATGAGAACGGCCCTGGGATAACATGGCGCCTTTACCACTCTTGGAATAGCAATACTTTAGCAAGGAAAAACGAGTAAAAATCCTCTGATCTTTACTGCCGTATCATATACCTCGAATGGGGCTTGTTAAGTCTGAGATCGAGCTAGCATTATGTTACGAAGCTTTAAAATGACGTTCGTAGACTCTGCAGGGGGGCGGCAAGTCATGCAAAGGTGTTCGTTAAACCTACAGATACGTGCTCGCGATAATGTATCTAGGAAAGCCACTCGCTTTCCGAAGATCAGTATAATGAATAGTTAATGCTTACAGCGTTTGGTAGAGTCGTACGATCGAGCGCTACGTTTAGTGACTGTCAGAGTTTATACTGAAAAGTATATCGAATCTATTAGGATATTTTAGATCTCCTTTTTTCAAGCGGATACGGAAAGCTCCGAATCCTAGGTCCTCTGGCACGATAGCCGGTGTTATGTTAACAGTAGACACCATTTGGGCTGAGTATGATTGCTTACGGACTTGGCTTTTTTTAATCGATTTTCTTGATTTTTTGGCACCCTTTTGATATTTTCACTGCGTTACAAGAGCTATGAACTCCTTTAAAATATCAATCCATTCACTTTCATACGTTCTTGAAAAGAACGTGGCAGAAGGTCGTGATAGGCCAGTGGTGTTCCGCCGTGTGTCTGATAGAGGCAGCTAACGACCTTCTGATGTAAGGTTCATCATTCTTTACAGACAACCAGCTTAAGCAGTGGAAAATGATGATGCGAAATTTTGCGATTATTGTTTCATCGATTAAATCTAGCAATGGTAAGCAAGTTTACTTTCACCCGTCGGCCTAATCTAATTCATAGCATAGACTTTGATTTATGCAACACCTCAGCTCATTTGGCTGACTCTAAAACTCTAAGGCGTATTCCCTCCTGCATGAAAACTTCATTACTGTCATACTTCCTCGCAGCTGCTCGTACTAACATGCGAGATACTACTGCTCGGCGATTTGAACTGACGGGACGGCTGGGTCGGTAGCGGGCTAACCGCACTGCGTCAGCCCAACGCTGACGTAGATTTAATTCGCGTTGAAGGTCACAAGAAGTTTGCGTATGAAAAGTTCTTTGGTTCCTTATTCTACTTAGTTCGATAGTGGCAGTGACTGTAGCCGTGGAAAAAACTACCTTCTTTTACACCCGAAACAACATTTGCATGATAATGGCAACGGCTGTGCCTATTCTAGCAAACGACACGTCCTGCACGTCTCTCCGTTTAGAACCGTTGATATCTCACCAATGCAACAGATCGGATAGCCAACGACCGACGGAAAATATTATACCACGGATCCTTTTTTGGATAACCCCTATAGTAATACCCTACGGTTCTGGTCCGGAATGATTTAATATATCAAGTATAGAAACGCGTGTTACAGAAGCCGATCCTTGCTCTGTTGGCTTCGATAACCCTACCCCAGCCTGCCGTAACTTGATTATCATTACATAAATGAAATCCGTACGGTTAACAGAAAGAAAGATGACTTAATCCGTTTAACGTCGTCGAGGTACAACATATTATTATTTCGTTTTACTTAACGCAACGCTCGTGGTGGGTATCATTTAAAGTTACGCCAGATTTTTTTTAGATACTATTACGGCAAGATAGAAAATCGCTAGCCCATTAATAAACAGTTACAAGTTATTATTAGCCTAACTATTAAGAGACATCCGTAACTTGTTTGGCCTTGACATTGCCAGTAAACGATAGTTATGGGAATGTTTTGAATTCGATTGACGTCACGGTACGGTGCTTTACTGTCTATGTTTCGAAAATAGGTTCGTCTTTTCAGCCAGCGCAATACCTAATATAGCCATGCGCTATGCAGGACTATTTTAGGGGAGAAGGCGCACAACGGGTGTTTCGAAGGATGATGCTTCACCCAGCGAACCGTCGTCGATAGCGGAGCGCTAGCTATTAACTAGCGAAGTTCGAACCTGTTACAAATGCTTTCGTACGCATTTCCGGTACAGCCGCGACGAAAAAGTTTTAACAAGACCTCGGTGGCGTTGCAGACTCTAACTGGGGCGGGCTGCTCGATATGTTACAACGCTTAACGTCTATTCGGCCAACGAACGCTGGGATTCGCATTGACTGCCGTACGCTCACCGCCACTGCCTTGCAGAATAGGAGATGTCTTGAAGTAAAGCGTAAATTGAGTGTCGATGCCGCATTATAAGGGCCTGATCTGTGCTGAAAGTGCGGATAGTTTACGAAGTTTTGTATTAATTAATGCAGCCGGAATACAGTAGCAGGATATATGTATATCGTAGTGTTCGAGCAGCCTGCTGTTCACGGTTCTGTTATCAGCTTTCCATTTTACTTAGTAAAGATTGTTTTACGTCATTTCTATTTAACTGCTACGATAGAATTGCGAGCTCATTACATAAAACCGGCAAATGAGCATTTACCGGAACTTGTGCGACTTATTCGACGGCCAAACCACCTAGGGAAATACACGGGACGTATATAATATAAGGGTAGCTTCAAAAACTAGATTTTCATACGCGCCAACGAATCGTTCGGTGGTAGGGTAATAGTTAGAACAATTTCATAAATTCGTTCTCAATCTCGATATTATTAGGGAGAGATTTTTCGGCGTCGCAACAGGTGAAGTGGTATGCCTGTCTATGCATAGTAGTAACCAAATGATCGCAATCCATCTCATTGGTCACTACCTTAACCATTTAATACTAGTAAATGGTCAAGTTTTTTTTTTTACAGGCGTCCGAACGCCTTTCGTCTCCCGTTCGACGCGTTTGCA